TGACGGTTTGAAGCAGGTTTTTGATTCATAATCTCGTCACAACTAATAAAGATATTGTTATGGTTTCGAAGCGCTAATGGTATATGTATGTGTTCCAGAACGAGTATAATACGCACGCTTAGCTGACAGCTAACTTGATACGCAAGAGACACTGATTGCAACCCCGGGAAGAATAGAGAGAAGACCGAAGCTGGCTGATAGGAGAGTGTCAGTACCACTTTGTCATATAAGTGATTTACACACCAAACAATGATTCAGTAGTTTCCAAGATCAAATCGCTCAAAAAATCAGAAAACTGAACGTGGTGTTGATGTTCAGTGAAGGTCAAGGAAAATGTTCAACTGTCTTATCATTTTCTAACAGTTTAACATTATAAACCTGTTGATCATTTCAGCGTCAAGTCGAGTTTGATAAAAGTTCGTGACAAAGTTGTTAGCCAGCTAGGATAAATTTCATTGCCTGACTACATAATTTGTGAGTTGAGTGTCTACAGCCAAAGGTGAAAGTAAATGAGTGCAACTGAAGAGTTCAGGTAGAGACGAGCAAAAATCAATCTGAAATTTATTTCCTCATTCGCATTACTATGTAGACGTTATTTGGTGCGTTTCCCTATCTGTTTGAAGTTCTCATACAATAGACTTCATCATTTGTCCAGAACTAATGACACATAATAATAATAATAATAATTCACTTTATTGCAAGCAATTTGTGGTACAATTTGGAATTCTCAGCATGATATATTGCAACAACAACAGTATATGTGTACGTTTATACTCCTTTACAACATTTCAAATTGTGTTATCATGAGAATTTAATTAATGTAAAGAATACTGAAAACTAGACTATTTTACATTGTTAATTAAGTAACTGGAATAAGATTATTCACTATTACAAAGTTGATATGTGAGTTCTAATCTAACACTTTTTCCTCACATAATGAGCATGTAAGGTAAGGTACATTCGAATTCTTGTACTTAGCTGTACGAGCTTATAGTCTTATGTAGTTTCTTCTTGTCCTCCCTGAGGAGATACATGGAGAGAGCTGTGAATGAAATGGATGCTCAGTGTCAGTTAAAATTACTGTAACTAGTTGCTTGCTGGAATTTAAATGTCAATCAAATGCAGTGTTAATTAATCGTTTGGGTCAGAAGCACACCACTCACCCTGCTGACGTCTTTCAAAGCCCTACGCAATATAAGATAGTCCTTTTTTAGAAGACCAGAAAAGATCAACGGCGGGCAACATAGAAGAGAATAGGTATAATGCAGGAATGAATAAATTGTAAAAGAAGAGGTTGAGTTGTGCGAGAGAGCCTTAGTTTCTTTATGCAATACCTTAAACGAGAGATTTTTTATTTTTTTATAAAACGATGCATTGAAGATATCTCTAAGCGGATGACATAAATATCTGCAAATTTTCTAAATATAATGCTAGAAACATCATCTGGACCTAAGCTTTAGGATGGATTCAAGGATTTTAGACATTTAAATACATTATGTGTATTAAAACCAGGAAAGCATCTATCCATCTGACTTTAGACATTAGGAAGCGTAAAATCAGCTTGCCAACGTATGAACGACTTGTTGAACGCACAGATATCCGAACAAGCTTCTTCTGTCATCTGTTTTCTACCAGTAAGCTCTTTAATTTCCACATATTTGAAGAGCTCTTACACGATAGAAACTTCTGGTTGTATGTAGTATTCAGACGTTGTATTTCAGACGTAATAAGGCAGTTAAGTCTTAAAACAGCAGGCTGATCTCTCGTCTTATACAACCTTTTCTTTTCGTTTTGAAGCTTCTTGAAAGAAGAATAGGAATGTCTGTTCGATCACATGAAAATTGTTTCGGCAGGGCAGCAAATATCGGGACAGAACCTGAGATAGCTTTTGATATTAGTCATAGTTTTGTCTACTACTTCATCGGAAAATGTGTAGCCCAGTCTGTTTCTTTAAGCAGGATTCTCAAACGTTGTATATTCTCCTGTCAATATCGCCTGTACTGAACTTCCTTGGGAAGGTATCGCAAAGCCTTCTTGTGTAATGTCATACATTTTAAGCAAAACACATACAATACAATGGTCAGAATTCAGCAACGGAGCTCGTTTACGGGCTTGATATACGCCATAACCATTTGTAAGCACTAAATCTACTGTTATCAGGACGAGTGGAAAAGTTAACAACATTTTCACGACCAAATGAAACAAGGAAACTGCAGTCACATGACTTGAAATCTCAACAGACTATAGACAAAGAGTTACCCAGAATCAGAGCAGCAAATCTAGTGAATTCGTCAGCAGAAGTTGATAAATCTGAGAAACTGCAGTCTGGTGCGACATAAATGTTTGTTATGAATGTGTGTTTGAATTTACTCAAATGCTTAGGACGACATTTAATGATAATGTACTCAATTTTTTCGCTAGATGAGCTAAAGCATACACTGTTGGAGGTGGACCAGTTTGTATTCATAAGTGTTGCTGCCACACCCCCACCACATTTCTTCTTAGAAAAGCTTCGATCTTGTCGAAATAATGTGAAACCATTTAGGCAAACTAAATCGGCATCATACAGGTTGTGAAGCCATGTTTCCTGTAACATCATTACACCCGTATTCAGACGAACGTTTGTGGACAGGAGTGACTGAAGGCAAACAACATTCTTTGGCAATGACCTGCAGTTTGTGCTATTTCCGGGACAATCATTTTATCTATGGTAATACGCTTGAGAGCCTGTTGCCATCCATCAATGTGCTTTTTTGTAATTTGCCTATCAACTTGTGGAGTGATTGGTTGTGATGATTTTAAAAATGTACGAGAGTATGTAATACGATTGGATGACAACCGAATGATTAAAACAATGTAGAAAGTAGAAATATGATGTAAAAAGGGTTACTCAGAGTTCAAGCAGTCTACAGCTATTAGAACAGGCATATGAATCATGCATTGATTGGTCACGGGAGAGCAACGAATTTCATGTTGTCTAATTATGAGTGCTGACCTGGTCCTATCGACCAGTTTTGCAATGTGGTCACCAAATTAGGAGGCTCAACATCGCTGTGCACATTGATGGATATTAGTTGGTTGGAGGCAAGTAGCAGGAAGCCTTGGACCTAGGTTTAGTGATAACAAGTGCCAATAGCCTGAAACTCAGGTCCAAGACTTCCTGTTGACCACCTCCAGCCAATAAGGATCCATCAGTGTGCGCCCTGATTCTGCAACTCCTAGCTTGGTGGCTTTATTGCAGAAAGTGATCGACAGAATTCGGACAGTACACAGGACTACACAACATGAAACTGGTTGCTCTCCCGTGACCAGTCAATGTATGTAACACAGGCCTACAGAAGGTCAGTCGTGGCCCAAATAACTCAGTGCTAACTTCGCTAACTGCAACATTGTGTGATGTGGGTCCAAATCTCAGGGGTACATGAGTTCTGTTGAGGTTCGAGATACGCCTTGCTGACGAGTGCCAACAAGCACGAAACCTGGGTTCAAGGCCTTCTACTGATTGCCTACATCCAACCAACATCAATATCAGTCATCCAGACAGTGAGAATGATGGATATAAGAAGGATATATGGGAAATAGCTAATCATTTTATTGTGTAACAAAATTTATTGATGAAATTATTAATGAAAATTATGTGTGTGTCAATATATCCTCCTCTTAAAAAATTGCAATATAGGAAAACAATATTAGTCGATGCCAAGAAAACTTTCATTCGTCTAATTTTTCAAATATTATTAACATCATAACTACTAACGAAAAAAGAATGTCGAAGATTAAATTCGTCTTTGACGCAGTTTAAATAAAAGTAATGAATTCATGAATAGTTATCTATATTGATTTATTGATCATGCGAATCAATTTTAACAAGGGATCATATTTTTATTTTAACCAATCCATACATAGCTCTTCTATACTTCACTTCACTAAATAAGAAAAGCGAATGGAATTTAAAGTGCTTCAGTGCTTCAAAAAAGCAATGGAAAACACGCAATTATAAAATGCTGGATATTTACAAGTTTTCAGTAATATACACCTAAATGTATATAAAGAGAAGCAGTGAAGGTCATCTTTATTGCACATGTTTCTCACTTAACCAAGTAGTAAAATAGTATTGTTATTTCCCAGCTAAGCATTTGAAATTCATTTCTTAAAATGGTAACAAAATACAATAAAAGTTTGTTGTTTCAAGCTAAAAAATATTAACGCAAAACAAAGATCGCTGAAAGTATCAAAAATCTAAATTACTTCAAATACTGAAAAAATCTCCATCCCAGTTATAAAAATATAATATAATATATAATATAATAATAATAATATAATAATATAATTTATAATATAATATAATATTTGATTGGTAACTATTCACTTCATTAGGAAACAATTAATCGTGTTTCGATATTATTGACAGATAGTGGCTGGCATTGGAATCGATGACGCATGTTTCGTCCTATCTAGGATTCGTCAGCTGCACGGAATAACATGAATGACAACAGCGAAACTATATTTGTTGCGTAAGAAGTAGTTGTCATGACTCAGTGGTCTAGTGGATGATGCTCTGGGGTTTCAAACGATCCCTTCCAGGTTCGATTCTCAATGGGGACAACACTCGTTGAGAGGCGGGCGGATCCGGCTGACGAGTCTCAATGGGGCGAGACACACGTCTTCGATTCCACTGCTAGCCTCTTTACATCATGAAAAGTCACCTCGTTTAGATGGCTCGCTAGCATGACATAGTTGAAATATATTAGGGGAACTGGTAAGTTTTTCACCAAAATAATCGCGTTAATTCTGTAATTCATGAACAGTATAACAGTGCTGAACAAACTGATCAACCGCTGTTGGTATATAGGTTTATTTTCACAAATGACTAAACATTACTATAAGCACATGTGAGTCATATAGTTGGTACCAGTTCGCCACAGAATATTGTATGCGCAATTAAGCGGGAATAACAACAAAAATACTAATGTGAATATACACATAAAGCACAAAGACAGATGAGGTGGAGCATGAAACCTGGAATTCACTCTACTACTACTACTACTACTACTACTACTACTACTACTACTACTACTACTACTACTACTACTACTACTACTACTACTACTACTACTACTACTACTACTACTACTACTACTACTACTACTACTACTACTACTACTACTACTACTACTACTACTACTACTACTACTACTACTACTACTACTACTACTATTGCTACTACTACTACTACTACTAAACGTGCTGCTGTACAAAAATAGTCTCATTATATGATTATCGACATGCAAGCTGATGGTTTAACCTCGCATGGTTAAATAGTTCGCCAGTTACTAACCGGTCCTAGGCCAGGATAAAGAGGGTAGGTTGGGCATACGGCTAGCAATCCTACCTCGGATGTGGCAGACTAACAAGAGTTTTCATTGAAACAACTGACCGAAAAACTAGTAGAATGGGAAAGAATTTAAAATTTAATAAATTCTCTTACTTCTGTCTTATTCTTAAGCTGACAGAATTCAAAAAGAGAATCTTTTAAGTTTTCGGTCGGTTACTGTGCTTTAAGACGTGATACAAAATAACATGGGTGTAGTGGAAAGCCACTTTACTCCTATAAAAACAAAAGGGGAATGAATCTCTCTTTCATGTTAATATTGGCAAAGCGTTTGTATATGAAATGTTTTATTCAAGCAGTACTTCCGCTTCTGTTATTGAATTGAAGTTAACGGTTAAAAGAAATAAGAGAAAAATATATTATTTCAACGTAAATTGCGAGACTTGTGCTATCACCACCACAAAATTCGACATATCCTATATTCGTGTCAGGAAGATAGATGTATCAGGTTTACTGAACCTCGCCTGGTTAACTAGTTCACTAGTTACTAGCTGGTCCTAAGCCCGGATAAATAGGGAACGTTGGGGATAAGGCTACCAACCCTACCACGGAAAACAAATTCAATCCCTAAAGAAACTCCGAAGCACAAACAAAATCTAAAAAATAAAAAAAATTAATTCCTCACTGGAATCGGAGGGACAAAATGACGCTGGTTGGTGAAAGCCTTCGCGGAAGCAGTCGCCTGATGTGTCTTCTCCCTCTCAATGAAAGCAAAAGTAAGCACGGGGACATGGAATGTCCGCACCATGTTTCAACCTAGCAAGGCTGCCCAGATTGAGTAAGAGATGAGGAGGCATAGCATACAAGTGCTTTGAATCTGCAAGAGCAGACGAAATGAGAGTGGACTCTCCAAACTGTCAACTAGAGAGGAGTCCATTATCCACTCCGATATTGACACCCAGACGACAAACACGAGCGCACTGTGTATTGAAGTGGCTATCATGGTGTCCCCTAGAACAGCATAAAAGGCACACCCTCAGGCAATAAAACCAATCTCCTCTACTATCAGGATCATAACAGCAAGATTCAAATCAAAAGGAAAGAAAGTCACAATCATACAATGCTACGCTGTGCACCTACAAATAATGCAGATGAAGAGAAGGAGGAGGAATTCTGCAGACAACTACATTCAACACTCGACAAGACTCCACCCGAGTTGGCGACATCAAAATTCATTCTAATGGGTGACATGAATGCCAAACTGGGAGAGAACAACGTAGGAAGAGAACTCATCCATCATGGGTCAAGAAGCACTCGGTGAAATGATGAACGACAATCGAGAACTGTTTCCAGATTTCTGCGCACTCAACGATTCGCTGATTGGAGGCAGTGTGTACAAACACAAGGATATTCACAAAGCGAGCAACACGGATTTGATTTCACCAGGTGGACACACTACACTAAAAATCACATCGACTTCATCTCAATGTGAAGAAAGTGGAGACGCAGCCAGCCCACTGGACACAAGATCAGATGAAGAAGGGGAGCAGCTGTAGGTAGATTCACACCACTCACTATCTAGTGCAAGGGATCTACTTTCAAAATCAATTTGGAGGCCTTCACAGAAGCTTGTGATAGACGACCACAGTTCAAGTTGAACACGAAGAACAGAAACTGAACTGAAGGACAAAACTGCAAAGGGCATCTTCACGTCAGTCAGTCATCAGGACAAAATGGGAGACATCGAGCAACATCCCCAAAGAAACCTCCATGGAAGAACACTGGAACCCTTTGGAAGCGACGTGGGAGGAAACCTGCATAATCGTATTAGGAATGAAGGAAAAACAGGACAAGGAAGGGATGTCGACGGACACATGGAAGCTGATAGAGGAGGGAGAGGAAGATGGTGAAGCAGAAGATGAACCAGTGCAGTGCAGGGATGAACAACGAAAAGAGGAACTGAACACAACCTATAAAACACTTCACTGGAAAAAGAAGTGAAGAAGAGTGCGCGCAAAGACGCAAGATACTTCTACGACATTGGCAAGTGAAGCAGAACAGGCTGCTGGTAGGAGAGACAGAGAGAGACCTAACAACATTACATCAAATAACCAGCAACGGCAGAACTACCAGTGAGCACATGCCCTCCGACAAAAGCAGAAGTGAAGTCTTGAACGCCATAAAGTTGCTGAAATCCAGGAAAGCAGCAGGACCAGATGGAATCACACCAGAAGCACTGAAAACAGATTCAGAGACAACAGCGGATATGCTCACACCACTATCGCAGAAGGCTTGCAAGAAGGAAGGGAAGGAACTCGGTGGATGTAAGAAGGGCTACCTTGTCAAACTCCCAAAGAAAAGAGACCTACGTCTTTGCAAGAACTGGCAAGGATTCATGCTCCTGCCCACCCCATGCAAAATATTAGGCCGCATCATCCTGGAGAGACTAAACAATGTCCGGATTCAAAATTACTACCTAAACAGGATGGCTGGCTTCAGGAAGAACAAATCATGTGCGGATCAAATTGCAACTCTACGCATCATCATAGAACAGAGCATAGAATGAATGGCAGTCAACTCTCTACCTCAACTTCATCGACTTTGAGAAGGCCTTCGACAGCGTCGACCGAGAAGCAATTTGTCAGGCAGTTACTTCAGCACTATGGTTTTAGTGCCACATATCTTTATCAACCTCATTCAACAGCTGTATGCTATATGATGAGGCCACATGCCAAGTGATCCACAATGGAAAGCTCAGTGACGCCTTTGAAGTGAAGACAGGAAGGAGTAAGACAAGGTTACCACCTACTAACACCGATGATTCTCCTGATTGTGGTCAACTGCACTGGACTGGATCATGCAACAAACTGTGAGGAGTGAGAGGATGGGCATACGCTGACTGGCTTGACCGATGAAAAAACCTAGAATAAGATTTGGATTTCACCAACGATGATGATTTATGTCTAATATCTTGTGGCACAAACTCAAAGATGTACAGGCGAAAGCTAACAAGTTGACATGAGAGGCAGCGAAATCGGGACTTCAAGTGAATGTAGAGAAGACGGTGGTGATGAGGATCTCCAACCAACGACAGCATCAACAACAAGCACCAATCACCATCAACGGGAGAAACCTAAAGGAAGTAGTCTCTTTCACCTACTTAGGCAGGGCAGCATCGTTTCAACTACAGGTGGTGGTGGTGGTGGTGGTGATGGTACAGACGAGGATGTCAAAAGCAGGATCGGAAAGACAGCAAGACAGGCCTTCCTGCATTAACCTGGAATAATCAGTGTGCAGATCTACTGCACTCAGCATAAAGCGTGAACAAGATCTGGATTTTCAACACCAATGCCAGTCAGGTCAGTGCTTCTATATGTTTCAGAAACTTGGCGCGTCACGAAAAGCATTTCCAACAAACTACAGACATTCATCAACAGTTGCCTATGCTCACTCGATACTGAAGATGGAGATCATATGGCCAGAATAACAAGAATAAGCAGCAATGAACTCTGGCCGGGTGACGAACCAACCAACAACCTATCACTTAACAAATATGCAGCAGAAGAAAGTGGAGATGGATTGGACATACACTGTGAAGGCTGACTGGGGAGATTACGCACCAGGCCATGACGTTGAGTGGAATCCAAATGGGAAACGATGAGTTGGGCGTCGGAGGCGAGGGTGATATGGAGGAGATGGATTGAGGACGAAATGAAAGCTTGTGGGCAGTCGTGGAGTCAGGTTGAAAAGACTGCAGAGGACAGAGTGGAATGGAGGCGTGCTACTGAAGCCGTATGTTCCACTGGGAACCCAGGTGAAAAATGCTAATAATATTAAATGATTGCTGTTTGGTTGAGTACTGGTGCAAACTAAGTCATAATTTTCCAACGGTTGTGTTATGTATTCATTCGGCGTACTAGATGTTGAATATTTTGGGTATTATGTTTCCAGACACACATCAAGATACCTTATACTTCGAACTATAAAAGGAGATATCACAGTGGTATTGTAATGGGAAATAAGAAGTCTTTTACGCATCGAATGCACTTTTGAGTTGATTCAGTTCAATTTTTTTTAAATAGATGGTAATTTAACTAATGCTGATGTCTTCGGCATACCACACTTTCACACCTAATTTGGGTAAGGGAAAAAGTGAAATTTGCAACATGTTGATAGAAGTCTTCAACTTCATGAGATTTTGGAGGGAATCATTGGTGATGTTAAAAAATTTTATGCTTCAAACTGTACGGTTGAAATTTTTCACCACATCATATTATCTTGAGGTATGATTGGATTATTTACATTTTGTAGAGTAAGTTAAATCGTTTATTAAGGTGTGAACAACGTGTTATCAGTTGCAACACATTTCGAGGTTAGTCGTAGGCTTTTACCATTAAAAAAAGCTCTAATCTGATCAGTGCAAGCATTATAGCATCAAGTGTCTTTGAGTATTTCTGAACAAAGCTAAAACAGATTTCGGCAGAGCATCAACAATGACGTGTTTTTCATTGCCTGTATGGATTCTTATTTTGCTGTTGTCACTTATTTCAGAAGTCATTTTTTGTTAACTCGCTTTATTGTAATTTTTGATCACATGACAATGTCTATCACCATTATTTCATTCAATATGAAAACATTACTCCTGCCAAATTATTTGTGTGCTTTTATCAAGCCAAATGACCAACTAATCAGCCTAGTTATAGACAGTTGTACTTTCATTGAGACATTCTGTGGAGAACTAATCTTCAACAGTTTATCTTTACTTCATGTGTCAGTGTAAAATTTATATTCACTACCTATTTTTGTTTCGATGACTTACGAGACAAAGATATACTAGCCAACTGAATAACCATTCAGTACTCAAAATGTCAAAATCTCAATGGTCAGTCGGTCTAACCATACATACATTCACACACACACACACATACATACACACAGTCAAGTGAATAAATAATCATTTACAAATTATAAGATTCTTACAAAGGCCAGTGGCGTAAATTGAAGAAACATGCACACTTTGAACAACGAATTCAGTGACCAGTTTGATGCAGTTAGGATTAAAGTCTGAACTAGAAACTTGTAGCTAGGTAACTCGCACATTCAATCAGAAATCACGTGTTTCATATGATACATGTATTTCAGTCATACGATAGATTAAAGTCAGTTTAGCATGAACACAGTGTTTATTTCTTACCCTGTAAAGTATAGAAAAATAACTAAATCATATACACTGCGAGATTTCAACTGATTTTTTCAGTTTTTCTCCTGATCAATGAAAGAAGTGGGGTGAAGTCACCCTCAGCACCTCTACTTTCACATCTACAATTCGCTTCGTTTACCTTTCACCTGATTAGAAACTCAGTCAAACAGTAATTCGAAAGTAGCCTTCACCATGAAATGGAGTCAGCTGGAGAATCAAACACCTGAGGGCAGTGGATAACTGCTTCGTCCTACTGTGGGACTCCTCAGCAGTGCAAATCCATCACTCCATGAAGGACTAAGAACAGGATATATAGAGTGACCATCCTTTGCAATGTTATCGATAGGAATTCATCCCCATTTTCAAATTGGTTTATCACATCGATGAAACCTTCTGACTTCAGGAAGATTTCAGATGTAATGGATTGCTGAAGTGGGACGAACTCAAACTCAACTGCTGTTCAGTACATTCATGTTTTCAGTGGTGGTCTAAGTGCTGTAAATTTATGAAAAAATGACTTCTAAAATAGCATTCACTTATTTTCATGATAAGCTAAATATACTACTACTACTACTACTACTACTACTACTACTACTACTACTACTACTACTACTACTACTACTACTACTACTACTACTACTACTACTACTACTACTACTACTACTACTACTACTACTACTACTACTACTACTACTACTACTACTACTACTACTACTACTACTACTACTACTACTACTACTACTACTACTACTACTACTACTACTACTACTACTACTACTACTACTACTACTACTACTACTACTACTACTACTACTACTACTACTACTACTACTACTACTACTACTACTACTACTACTACTACTACTACTACTACTACTACTACTACTACTACTACTACTACTACTACTACTACTACTACTACTACTACTACTACTACTACTACTACTACTACTACTACTACTACTACTACTACTACTACTACTACTACTACTACTACTACTACTACTACTACTACTACTACTACTACTACTACTACTACTACTACTACTACTACTACTACTACTACTACTACTACTACTACTACTACTACTACTACTACTACTACTACTACTACTACTACTACTACTACTACTACTACTACTACTACTACTACTACTACTACTACTACTACTACTACTACTACTACTACTACTACTACTACTACTACTACTACTACTACTACTACTACTACTACTACTACTACTACTACTACTACTACTACTACTACTACTACTACTACTACTACTACTACTACTACTACTACTACTACTACTACTACTACTACTACTACTACTACTACTACTACTACTACTACTACTACTACTACTACTACTACTACTACTACTACTACTACTACTACTACTACTACTACTACTACTACTACTACTACTACTACTACTACTACTACTACTACTACTACTACTACTACTACTACTACTACTACTACTACTACTACTACTACTACTACTACTACTACTACTACTACTACTACTACTACTACTACTACTACTACTACTACTACTACTACTACTACTACTACTACTACTACTACTACTACTACTACTACTACTACTACTACTACTACTACTACTACTACTACTACTACTACTACTACTACTACTACTACTACTACTACTACTACTACTACTACTACTACTACTACTACTACTACTACTACTACTACTACTACTACTACTACTACTACTACTACTACTACTACTACTACTACTACTACTACTACTACTACTACTACTACTACTACTACTACTACTACTACTACTACTACTACTACTACTACTACTACTACTACTACTACTACTACTACTACTACTACTACTACTACTACTACTACTACTACTACTACTACTACTACTACTACTACTACTACTACTACTACTACTACTACTACTACTACTACTACTACTACTACTACTACTACTACTACTACTACTACTACTACTACTACTACTACTACTACTACTACTACTACTACTACTACTACTACTACTACTACTACTACTACTACTACTACTACTACTACTACTACTACTACTACTACTACTACTACTACTACTACTACTACTACTACTACTACTACTACTACTACTACTACTACTACTACTACTACTACTACTACTACTACTACTACTACTACTACTACTACTACTACTACTACTACTACTACTACTACTACTACTACTACTACTACTACTACTACTACTACTACTACTACTACTACTACTACTACTACTACTACTACTACTACTACTACTACTACTACTACTACTACTACTACTACTACTACTACTACTACTACTACTACTACTACTACTACTACTACTACTACTACTACTACTACTACTACTACTACTACTACTACTACTACTACTACTACTACTACTACTACTACTACTACTACTACTACTACTACTACTACTACTACTACTACTACTACTACTACTACTACTACTACTACTACTACTACTACTACTACTACTACTACTACTACTACTACTACTACTACTACTACTACTACTACTACTACTACTACTACTACTACTACTACTACTACTACTACTACTACTACTACTACTACTACTACTACTACTACTACTACTACTACTACTACTACTACTACTACTACTACTACTACTACTACTACTACTACTACTACTACTACTACTACTACTACTACTACTACTACTACTACTACTACTACTACTACTACTACTACTACTACTACTACTACTACTACTACTACTACTACTACTACTACTACTACTACTACTACTACTACTACTACTACTACTACTACTACTACTACTACTACTACTACTACTACTACTACTACTACTACTACTACTACTACTACTACTACTACTACTACTACTACTACTACTACTACTACTACTACTACTACTACTACTACTACTACTACTACTACTACTACTACTACTACTACTACTACTACTACTACTACTACTACTACTACTACTACTACTACTACTACTACTACTACTACTACTACTACTACTACTACTACTACTACTACTACTACTACTACTACTACTACTACTACTACTACTACTACTACTACTACTACTACTACTACTACTACTACTACTACTACTACTACTACTACTACTACTACTACTACTACTACTACTACTACTACTACTACTACTACTACTACTACTACTACTACTACTACTACTACTACTACTACTACTACTACTACTACTACTACTACTACTACTACTACTACTACTACTACTACTACTACTACTACTACTACTACTACTACTACTACTACTACTACTACTACTACTACTACTACTACTACTACTACTACTACTACTACTACTACTACTACTACTACTACTACTACTACTACTACTACTACTACTACTACTACTACTACTACTACTACTACTACTACTACTACTACTACTACTACTACTACTACTACTACTACTACTACTACTACTACTACTACTACTACTACTACTACTACTACTACTACTACTACTACTACTACTACTACTACTACTACTACTACTACTACTACTACTACTACTACTACTACTACTACTACTACTACTACTACTACTACTACTACTACTACTACTACTACTACTACTACTACTACTACTACTACTACTACTACTACTACTACTACTACTACTACTACTACTACTACTACTACTACTACTACTACTACTACTACTACTACTACTACTACTACTACTACTACTACTACTACTACTACTACTACTACTACTACTACTACTACTACTACTACTACTACTACTACTACTACTACTACTACTACTACTACTACTACTACTACTACTACTACTACTACTACTACTACTACTACTACTACTACTACTACTACTACTACTACTACTACTACTACTACTACTACTACTACTACTACTACTACTACTACTACTACTACTACTACTACTACTACTACTACTACTACTACTACTACTACTACTACTACTACTACTACTACTACTACTACTACTACTACTACTACTACTACTACTACTACTACTACTTTGATGTCGAAGTGGTATTTATCGTGGACTGACATCAGTTGACGAAACAATGAGGACCTAGAAGCACTAGGTAGCTGTTTCCTATGGGTATGGCCTCAGTATTGCTAGCCCACAACTCTGCTGAGAATAGAACGTAATATGTTGAAATCTGGTGGTAAGCACGTTGGTACAGGGCCACTGGATCTAAGTTCAATGAAAGCCACCTTTAATTGATCTCTGAATCCCTACCAAGCTTCAAAGTGAATAGTTTTTGTGAGGCAAGCCCTTGTCTGTCGTTCACAAAACTGGTGATATCTGTTTTGATAAATGATGAGTTACATTTTCGGCCTTCATGCGATTCTTTGTCAAAAATGGCTTCACCAACTTGTCCTTGTTCACTTCATTGTTTACTTTGCTCTAAATGAGTCATCGTGTTTTTTTTTGACGTCTGTTCTGTACTGCGAAGATTAGTCATCGAATAAAACGCTGGGAATGAAATTTACAATACAAAGAAATATTAGCCAGCATGAAGCATTTTTCATGTTGTATACTAACTACTAAGTATTCTGAAAGTTGTTTTAGTACACTTCAGGTTTTTTTAACAGATAAAGAAACTGTTTACTGGCAGTTGAAATATCATAACGGAATGGCTTATTTGAATAAACTACCATTACACTGCCGTGTTATGTTAAATTGGCTTCCTTATTACATTGCATCACCGCGATGGATATTATTTAAAGCTAGGGGGAATCTCCGTGAGCAGTTGTACCTAAGTTTTGTGGTTTTCTGAAACCAAGATTCTGACTAACGTTACCAAGCGCTGTTAGGTACCCCTGAGATGATGGGATGTAAAGCTACCCAGTATCAAGTAATACACATCATAAAGTGGAGTCACATCGCTGAATGATCATGCTGCAGACGAAACCGACAGACTTCACTTGAGTCATAGTAGCTGATTCAATCTATGATAATCAATCAGTGCATCATAGTGGTTGTTGAATGCCTACTAATTCAATACTAACAACCTACTTCATCAGGAAAACTACTCATAAAATAAGGTTGTTGCTTGTGTAACACTCTTGCATTTGAAGCGGTCGGTGTCAAGTTCGACTCCTAATGAGAATAACATCGCTCAATGGGAGGCAGGTTCAGCCAGCTGATGAGTCCTAAATAAGACGAAACGCATGTCCCAGATCCCACTGCTAGCCACTATCCATCATTAACATATTCATAAAATATTTAGAAAACCGATATAATGTTTAACTGGGGCCAAAAGAAGGGTTTCATATTTCTTCAATTCTACAGATTCGTTTTGTTGGTAAATATCAAGAGACCGAAACGTTTGATTCGTGACTTCCCCTGGAATATTTCTGACAATCGGTTAAAGTTAAATTTCATTCTGTTACCGTAGGACTGCTTCTATGTTGAATTCCATCATTTCAACGATGAGTTTTTTTAACGGTGACCACTAGATACTTCCAATGAAGTAACTTCCCACAAAAGAGTGAAAACAAATTTGTTCACAAGTAGGTATTACACCACATGTTTTCCAAGTTAGGGTTTTAAGATACTCACGATTTAACTGTACAGCGTAGAGAATGTTATACCACGAAAATCATCTCAGGTTGAAAATATTCGCTACAGACTAATTGACTCTTTCTACGAGTTCGCTAGGCTGATTATTAGTTTGTGCAGACCTTAACAATCTTAACCGAATTTTATGGCTTTAAACAGTTAGACATCTTTCAATTTGTTATTCATCGAAGACTGACATCAGTTGGAGGAACAAAGGAAACCTGGGAGCACTGGACAGCTGTTTCGTCCTAGTATGGGACTCCTCAGCAGTGCGCACCCACGACCCCACCAGCAGGGATCGAACCCGCGACCTCCAGGTTCCGCGACCAGCGCGTTACCATTGAGCCACTGGGTCAGAATCCAATGCTCCATATTTCCAACTTCTGTTAGCTCACGATATAGCGCAAACCGCCAACCAATGTCATCGTTGAGTATTTGTCCTCACGACCATCAGGCTTTGACTCCACCGGTCACGACTTGTCATTGGAACTTCGGGAATACTTCTCGAAGCTAGTCACCAACGAGCACTAGTTCAATTAAATTTTTTATGTCAGTCTTCGATGAATAACAACTTGAAATATTTCCAAATCTCCACAACCCCCTCAAAAAGTTAGACATCTGTTTGCCTAGACAGTAGGGATTATATCTATGGGAAATGCTGCTTTCTAAATTCTTCACTTGATATTCTGGTATAGAAAACACCCAATAGTGTATCGTGAAATAAAAATAAACCTTGGCCAAATTATGCTTGAAAACATTCATAAATTGAAGTCACGAGTGTAGCGTGTCATGTAATTTTTCTAGCTGCTTCGACCTTGATCATTTATAAAACTATTGACCGACGAGACATTACATTTGATTGGTTAGGCTTTTCATAATTCTTATTGGTTAGACAATTATTTTATTGCATTATTAACTATGGTCTAAATGGAAGCAAATTTCATTTTGTCTGCTTGTAAGTAAATTTAACAATTTATCGACAGTTTGGAATTTATATTCGAATGTGGATATGTGGTAAGTAGTTATGGTTACAAATTTCACTCATATCCATAGATTTATAAGTGATATATTTAAAACTAGTTTCCAATTAGACTAAAATCGTCAGGCTTCTGGGTTATATAACAGTTTTCTGACTAGTTTACCAAACTGTGACTATCTTAAATAGTTTCATCTAAAAAAACTTACATATGATGTTGATAGAAAAATATGTCAGAACTGTCAGTCTTTCATAGGAAACAGGTCATTCCTCCAAGGTTTCATAAAATAATCTCTTAAAACCAAAAGCTTTTTAGTAGCATCAAAGGAACTCAAAGATTATGATCTGAAGACTTTGTCTTTTAGAACTCAACCGTTTTATTAAACAAGACTTTCCAAGCAAAAATGGAGTTCTTTTTGACAAGGAAAGTGTGATTATCGTAAGAGGAAAATTTGAATACATGAGTGCTACTCTACTCCTGTCTTTTATAACATATATAAGCTATTAGTGTTTACATGTTGAGAAGGAATGCAGTCAGAAACTTTAGAAACTATATCTTTTGATAGTTAGTTTATGGGAATGAAAGAAAGCCTATATCATAGAAAAATTCGAAACAGCTTTCGTTATGTCTTTCTGACTACACATCTGCCTATGTAATTTATACTCCATTATTGATCTCTATGTGACACTAATTTCGTTGTGAATTAACCCTCACACCTGATAGAATTCTATCTACAAGTGTTGTATAATCACAGAGGAGGTACTTCGCTAATTAGAGCTACTTGGTACCAGTAGTATGTATGTATGTATCTGACCCATTCGAATCTGCAATATACTCTAAATAGATGATTTTCTTCTGAAATCCAGTCGATATTATAGTATCCAAGTGGGCACACTTCCCATTGTTCCAGTTTGACAGTACATTTCAATTATTTCTTTTAAGTTTAAAAAACGCGAAAGTATTGTGTAACATTAAAACGTTTTATGCAAACTGATACTTGATATTTACCGTTTCAACAGATTTCCCTACCGTTACATCATCTTTTCAACAGGAGAGGTACTTTAACGTTTATTGCGAAAAGTATATTGATTGCATCATCTTTTCTATTTGGGTCAGACGGTTTTATTTTGTTATAAATATTTCGGCTACCTAGCGGAGATTAACTATTTTTATGAGTAACCATTGAATTTTTAACCTTTTACCAGAGGGAATTATAAGTAATATTATTCATACCATATGTTTACGGTGTTCAGCACCTCATTATTACAGAAACGGCTTGGTAGATACCTCCACCCGTGAACGCAACAGCAATGACTTCACACCTTTCCGACTACCCTTCAAGTCTTATCATATTGATTTGCAGAGTTTGAGGCTAGTTTTCTATACAGTATACTCATAAACGTTGAGTAGTATGACTAGAGATAAGCGTCCAAAAATATACTCGTGTTTTGAAAGTGGATTCATGCAGTTGTGCTACCGTTTTAATAAAACCATCTGTATACAATGAAGATTTTAAATGAAAATTTCCCTAAGAGTACTCTGAGTAATGATTAAACTGGATGTTTTGCCAATATTTGATGGTGGATGGCTAGGAGTGTCAATTAGTGCAGGGAATTTTTTAGAAGCCAGTACCGATAGGGCTATCATGCCTACAGCCCGACCGATAGCTGCTATCTTGACGTGGCAGTTGCGCCTGTACATCACAATGGTCCACCGAGCTACATTGGCTGCAATGTTTGTTCCCTCGAGGTCCTATCTTGCTATGAAGGTTTGTTGACTAGGGGTAAGATGAAAAGCAGTTACCGTTGTGGCGTAAACTGTTACACTGCGATAGGGGTCAGAAGGCGGAATCATACTGTTGGCTTTATAGAGTGTGACAGCAGTAAGATGTTCATAGAGAACGATCAGTAGTCTTGGTTGTATTGTGTTCTCTGAGCTGGGTTGTTCAATCGTGAAGCTTTCATCGCCACTAAATCACTCACGGAGAGATACTGACAGTTCATTTCATACTGAAGTTAGTGCTGAAGATGTCGTCTAGAAGGACAATGAAAGCTTCACGATTAAACAACCCAGCTCAGAGAACAACCATGATGCTGCCTTTCCTATGGGAAGTACGAGTTAGAAAAGGGTGGTTTCAAAAATAGCACACTTCTCTCTGTACCTTGGTTTTCCGGTACTGGCGGTATAGGTTTTTCTCTGTCGGACGTTAAACTCATCAAATCATACAGGAATAGAAATCTCTGGTTAATTTCAGCACTGCTGAAAAGAAAACAATATCTGCGTAAGCAAAATTGAGTCTGTGTATAGTAGTGAACTGATCATTCCAGTTCTTCCACAACATATCCACTGCGAATGATTATCATCATATTGTAAAAACATCAGGTTTTAAAAATGAAGTTGACTTCATGAGTAAAAGAAGACAGAAGTGATTTAGTCAAATAACAGTCTACAAAAGAAATCACAATGCACAATAGTCAGATTGGGATTAAAAGTATCTGTGTACCAAAAAGTGTATTCGTCGGTGAATACACAGGCAGTGTTATAGTAAGTGACGTCTACCATTTTGGGATTAAAGAACTTCTGGAACTTTGTGAAGATCTGCTAAAAAAGCAAAGGAGCTGTACGGTTCTTCCGTACTTTGCATATCAGCTTTTTATCAGAAACTGTCAATGAATAACAAATAATTTACCGAGAATATCTTATCGGAATCCTGACCCTTTCAAATATACAGTCATGGTTTTATGCTTATTTGTCAGCAGTGTTTTTATTAATCTTGAGTCACTACTCTTTTGAACTATTGATGATCAATAGTGGCTGGCAATGGAATCCAGGATGCGTGTTTCATCCTGTTTGGGACTCGTCAGCTGGATGTACATGCTTCTCTATGAGTGTTGTTCTCACCGGGATTCGGACTCGGGAGCGATCGCTTCAAACGCGACAGCGTCATCCACTACACCACCGAGCCACGATAGCCACTTCTTGTGCCACGGGTATTGTTTTATTATAATTGTTTTTGTATTATACCGTCGTTGATTGGACCGAATCGATCGGTCTCTGTTGACACATGTGCTTCTATGGGGATGTCTCAATATTACCTGTGTTCTTAACTATATATTAATGATGGATAGTGGCTAGTGGTGGAATTCAGGATGCGCATTTTGTCTTAGTTGGGACTTGTCAACTAGAGACCGACCAGTTCGGTCCAGTCAACGACGGTATAATATAAAAACAATTATACTCTTTTGAACTGTATAAAATTCTGTAAAAATGAGGAAGATTTATGATAAGGGAATGTGGAAATTATGAAACATATTGGGCATTTTGAATATGGAGTTGCATAATAACTCAAAGTGCAATTTAATAGTTGGAGGATAATCAGGCATAACGCGAAAAAGGTTGACATGGGTTTCTTACTAAAAGTGGGAGTTTATAGGGATTCATCGATTTCATAATCGACTGTCATCAGATGGAGGAACATAGGGAACATGGAAGTACTGGACAGCTGTTTCGTGGTAGTGTGGAACCCCTCAGCACTGAGCATTCATGACCCTGCCTGTCAGGGATCCAACTCATGACTTTCAGGTTCCATAGCTAGCACGTTACCATGGAGCCACTGGGTCGGAACCCAATGGACCATATTTCCTACATCTTTCAGTTCACAGCCGCGTGACCATCGCCTAATGTTGTGAACTGACAGAAGTTCAAAATATGGACCATTGGATTCCGTCTGACTCAGTGACTCAATGCTAGCGTGCTGGCGATGAAACCTGGAGGTTCTGGGTTCTATCCATGGTGGGGTCGTGTACGCACTACTGAGGACTCCAATACTAGGGCGAAACAGTTGTCCAGTGCTCCCATGTTTCCCTTGTTCCTCTAATTGATGTCAGTCCATGATGAATACTAACTTAAAAGTGGTAGGCTTGAGATAAACTGATTTTCAGTGCTAACAATTAAAATTTTGGCAAGAACAAGGATCCAGAAAGTTCCCTTTAGTATTTCAGAGTATAGAATGAGAATGATAACTGTTTGGTGCTTTTCTAGCTTTTTCTTAGATGTTTCATCACCAGGTTGGAAGACTTTATCCGCACTTTATAAATTTTCCTTTCGCTAAGGGGATCAAGATGCCTACATGTATTCGGCAAGAACGAATATAATCTTGGTCAGGCCCCCCTCTATTTTGTAGATATTCTTTAGTGAGTGATGAAACTTGTCATGATACTGTAATTGCTAGTGTTGATGCAATATTCAATAGCTCTACTTTTTATCCAATTTTTGTTCTCACCTCTTTGAAACTAAACATGATTTCTTCATGGGGTTTGTTCAAACTTTCCTAGATCCTATGTACACTTTTTTTCTTTACACAGACGACGTATCATCCTAATCTAGTTGTATTCTGTCAGCCTGAAATTATACACGCAATTCAGAAGCCACCCGCACATTCTTGTTAGTTGATACTTGTTATTTTCCGTTGCTAAACTAGGTCAAATTGTTTGACCTCTGTTGTTACACATTCACTGACCACCTAGTTTGCACGGAGTAGCTCAAATGGCCACTTTACGATCCGCTAAGATGACTAGTTACTTATCTCCGTTTCGGCTTGAAGGGTAGTTATTTTTAAAGAACGAACCCAACTGACTATTTCAGTAATTGTTAGGATGGTCTTTACAGTTCCTCTGTACAGCTTAGATTTAATGATGAATTTTCTAGCAAATATATACTTAAATAAGTCATGTTTATAGGTGGAGAAATTTTCTATTGAAAGTGATTGAAATTTTACTGAAAAAAATGACCGGATTACTGTTATTTTAGATCTGTGATTGGTATTTCTTGAGTTCAAGTCGAAGTTGGAAAGTCTTCTTTGAAATCTCCAAGATATGTTGCATTAACTACATTACGTGTATATGTGTGTGCGGAAAATCCACCAACAAATCCTAACTTTAACACTGAAATGTTTCAAACATTCGCACTTTACCCACACACCTTGAGAGAAAATGGTTCCTTTCAAACTGCCGATATCTTCGCTTATCAAGCATATTG